GCTGGTGCTAGGACCATGAGTCCACCCCCAGCTCCTATTCTTCCCCTAAGGCCCCATCCCCTCTCCAGGCCAGAAACCAAAACCAGGCAGTGGCAGGAGCTGCCAAAGGATCCCACCTGGGCCACTGAGAAGAGCCCCAGACCCTCCAACTACCCTGGGCTGTGTATCTCAGGGAGGCAAGGACATGGGCTGGGGAATGCTCTCGGGCACTGTGGCCCTCTACCCAGGGCAGGTGGAGGTTCATAGGTCCAGGCTCCCTGAAGGCTTTTACTGTGGCCTGGATCCAGCTCCCATTCTGGCCAGAAGATGGGGTCTCGGAGGTGAAGAGGAGGATCAGACGCAGGGCCCCATGGTGAGGAAGGATCAAGGGGCCCACCTCAGTCCAACACTGGGAAGCTTCTCAGCAGGAGAGCCAATCACATTATCACCTCCCCTGCCACAAAGCACAGTGCCTGCTGCACCTCTCCACGGCTTCTATGCTTATGTTAAACATTTTGGAGGAAGGGGGTGGCCCCTTTGCTATTTTCTGCTTTTGGTACCCCTGCAGTGACCAAGCAGCCTTCTCAAATCAAAGTATACTTTTAATCTTACCAGTAAGACCAACACAAACTACACACAAAAGGGTTTGTTTTTTAAATGCCCTTTTGTTTAACCTAAATACTTCCACACTTAAGGGCGTAGGAAGAGGGAGTAGGAGGCTGCCTAGCTTCCTCTGACACATCAGAGGGTATCTATAAGTGTTGGACTCCTGCTTCCTCTGAACAGTTCCCCAACATCTGCCTGCCTCCGAGGGAGAGAGTATTTCAAATGTAATCAAACATGTTTCCCCTGTAATTTCTTACATGTGCCCAGTTCTGCTTATGCTGTTAACATTATCAAAACAGATTGTTAAAATTCACAGCAGACTTCTGTCAGGCCTAAATATGCCTTTTCTCCCAATAGTATCCAAGACCAAACTCCTTACTTCTACATCACAATCTTTGAGAGAATTAATTAAAAAAAAAAAAACCCTACTGGATTTGGAGCAAGGTGCTCCAAAAGAGTACTCACGCCTATTGAGACATATTTCAGTGTTCTAGGAAAATGCTGCCTGCCGTGCTTCAGATTTCTATCCCAGAAGTGGACCTGTTTGAAGAAAGGTCTCAGAGGGGCAGCCGTGTTAGCCTATACCTGTGAAAAGGAGGAGTCTGTGGCAATTTAAGAGATTTATTTGAGCATGAGCATTCATGGGTAAAAATCATTTTGTAAAGGTGCCTCTTTACCGCCACAGCAGGGATGGGGCTGAGGCTGGGAAAGAGAGCTGTCTCTCCCTGCCAGCTGGAGCAGTTCCCCCCCTCCCCCACCTGTTCTTCTGGACCCAGTGCCCTCTAGTTGCCCTCTCATCTTACATGTACATTTTCTCCAAGGTCCAGGCACCTGTTAAATGGAGCCAGGCCTATGAGCCACTAATTTGGTGGTGAGCACTTCATTCTCTAATGTGCAGCTGCTCAGGTGTGCACCGTAGAGGGAACTATCCACAGACAACCTGAATAGAGCTGCTGGATTGCTAGTGGTCCACAAACCACAGTGTAAGAACCTGTATTCTAATCAGAAAGAGCCTTCAATCAGTGGGGACTGCTGGGGAGGAAAGAGGAGATAGCGGGACCTGCCATGTGACCCTCACCCTACATGACTCCTCCCTGCTCCACCCCTAGCCCAGTCTTGTCTCCCCCCCTCATACTCCACCCACCCCTGCAAGTCCCCTCCTCTGCTCTGAGCCCTCCCCTGAGCAACACAGCATGGGGAATTAGTTGGGGGTCTGGGGCTGGCAGCAGGGGTCAAGCTCCCCCACACTCACTGGTGGTGCGGGAAGCGGAGTGACCCAGACCCAGCATCCTCCACTCTGCCAGCTTCCAGCCATGTCGCTCCATTTCCCACTGTTGGTGAATGCGGGCTGGTTCCATCCCTTTCCCCAAGCAGAGTGGGCTGGGGCTGGGTCACGCTGCTTCCTGTCAGCAGTGAGTGCAGGCAGGTGGGCCTGACCCCTTCTGCACATGCCATGTTCCCCAGTCTGCCCTGGGCGCTGCAGGGCCTCCCCAAACTGCAGAGCCCAGGACAGTTGCCTTGAATTGTATGTGGTTCCTGGCCTCTCACTTCTCTCTCTTTCCTCGCCCTCCCTCCCCCCATGGCATTGGGGGCCATATGACCCTTTGTGTCCCCTAGGGTTACCAGATGATTTCAAAAAAATAGCGGACACACGCAATTTCAGATGGGGGTGGGGAACGGCTGAGAGGGGAGCATGGTTGGCTAGGGGAGATTCGGGGAAACGGGGGGGAGGGAGGGATGGCTGGCAGGAAGCAGGGCTGGCCAGGAGGGGATTGAGGGGATCGGGGCTGGTCGTGGGGGAAACGGCCAGAAGAGCGGGGCTGGCTGGGAGGAGGTCGGGGGGCAGTGGGGCAGGCCAGAGGAGATCGGGGGAGGGGGGAAGAACCAGATGGCAGGAAGCAGGGTTGGCCAGGAGGGGGTCGGGAGGAGTAGGGGGGAACCAGCTGGTGGGAAGCTGATGCCGGGGTCCTGCCTGTCCTGTGCACGGTCCTGACAGAGTCCAGCCCTGAGGATTCCATGGGCGAGTCCAGCCCTGAGGTTTCCATCCCAGCCGCCTTCTTTCTACTGCATAGACATACGCAACTACTTACTGATATTCATGATAATAATAAAACTTACTTAATTAGAAAATACCAGACATTTATACATCCAGTATTTTCTAAATATGTTTCCCGGCCAGAAAGCTCAAATACTGGACTGTTCGGTTCAAAGCTGGACACCTGGCAACCTTAGTATTCCCACACACGTCACTCCTGCCTTCAACCATGCTTGTAGCTGTGTCCATCACTTTACGTTCATCCAGCAGATATTCTAGACTTCAGAGTGACACAGAGAGGATGGACATTCTGGAATCTTATATAGATTACAAATATTGATGCTGACACACAGTCGGTAAACGTGTTGGAATCTTTATGTTACACGGGCACAGTTATACATTGTAGATAGTAAAATTGTAATAATTGTCTTATGGCTAACATTTTGGATTTTCGTTTCTTTCAGATGCAGACTTCTAATGGCCAATGTTATCTAATGTTAAACAAAGAAGACTGGTCCCTGACAAGCTATCTGAAAAGGTAACTCATTGCATATTTACCAGTGTTCTTTATGAGCTGATAAGGACTCAACCTTTTAAAATTTACAAAATGTGTAGGATATACTCTAGCACTAGATTTAAATAGCATATGCATAATAGTAGAATACATTTGGATTGCTTTTGCTGTGGTAGCTGATGTCTGTGTTCTTGAAAATACTAAAAGTAAGGCAAATTTTTCTATGTCTGACCACAGTCACTCAAACTCTACAATATTCACATACAAAAGCTTAGAAGCTACATTCACAGTCAGTGTCATGTAGAAAAATGCTCCTCTATGAGCCCATAAAAAAGTCCAAAATTATCTTAATTTCTCTAACACAGTGGTTCTCTAACACCCTAGGGGTACGAGACATGCCAGATTTTTATAATATATCTTAGATCTAATTTCTCTAACACAGTGGTTCTCGAACACCCTAGGGGTGCGAGACATGCCAGATTTTTATAATATATCTTAGATTTAAAGAACTGACCTACTTCAACAATTTTTAATAAGGGGTGTGAGAACATATTTTGAGAACCAAAGGGGAGCAGGCTGCAGGAAGGTTAAGAACCACTGCTCTAACAGTTCCGTAATAAGTATTTTGGCAAGGCTGGTGGTAATAAGCACTAGCAGGGAGTTCAGTCAAACATGAGGCCTTCTTTAGTGAGAATTGTCAGATGCCCATCTCTGTTAACAGGGATACTAATGTTAGCAGCAACTTCCAGGCTATTGACTCTAAGGGTACATCTAGACTACATTCTTCTTTCAAAAGGAAATATGCAAATTTGGTACTAATTTGTATATTTTCTTCTGATTGCTTTTTCAAAGCAGTTTTTTCAAAAAAGAAAACAGCTTAGATGTGGTTCTTTTGAAAAAAAAACCCACCCTTTTTTGAAAGAACCCTGCACACTTCATTTTTTATCTTGTCCGGTTCATAACCGAATACCTGGCAACCCTAGTCACACTGAGAGAGGAAATTTGTTTTTTAATTTCCTCTGAGATTATGATTTTACTCTTCTGGATAACTATATGATGAATTCAACTCAGATTTTACTTTTCAATGGACATTTAGAATTTAGATAAAACCTGAAGGCAGACAGGCAAATTACAAGTCCAAAATACTGAACCTGAATGTTCTAAGCAAATATTGTTTTCAAAACAATAGAATACTTTATATTATCTTCCCATTTTGATTCATTGTCTTGATCAGATTTCTGTAGACAACTGCTCCACTACTTGTTGGGTCTGAAAGAATCTTTATTAAAATTTGCAGATTTAGCAGTGGTAGAAAGTGTTGGCGTTATAGCAGGGAAGACTGAATTGCATGTGCTACAAAATAGAGGGGTGACAATGCAACCGGACTTATATTGCTCAGTTAGTGACTACAGTCTTAACTGAACTGGTTTTTTTTCATTTCTACAACTGGTACCTCTGTCTCTATGCCTATGCTTTCCTCTGCCACCGTGAAAGAGTTTCAGAAGGGGCAATTCGTGTTAGCAATTTCTGAAGTGAATCACTGCCTGCTTAGGTCTGCTGTAAAAAGAAACTGTAGGGTCTCAGATAAGGGACTGAATAGCCAATATAACAACCTGGTTGCTGTTAATCTGGATCAGTGGTGCTCTGTATTGCAACCCCCAATTCCATATGTTATCTAGTTTCTGCTTCTGAAAGTTTTAATAGATTAGTTCATTTTCTGATTGATACAATCTTACTGTCTGAGGTACATGGATACAGTGAAATGGCAACAGAATGAAACAGTCCATTTCTGTGGTGGTGATCCTGTGCATTAGAGAAATAGAAGTGATTGATTTGTTAGTCAGAGCTGAAACCTTCTGGGAACTTCTGGAAAACATTCTGCTTTTTCTCTCTTCTTTGTCATTAAGTTCTGTGAAATGTGAGGGTTTTGTGTTAAAATACTTAGCAACGCCCTGGGATTTACTGCATTCCCCCTCTTGATGGTTTTTGTAATAAACTAGATCCGTTTACAAGTTGGGGTGTTTTTATTAAGCCAGCCTCTGAATATTACAGCCTAGAACCTTGAAAATCAATCTCTGTTTCTTCTGGCTCTCACACAGTGATTGTTTAAGCTTCAGTTGCGAAATTGTCATCTGTTGGGGTTTTTTTATGATTAATCAAAGGTTGGAATAAAATCAATCCCCAGAAACTGTAATCTGTGCTATCAGAAGTTACTTAGGGAATGAACAAGGCTTTGCCATGCCTGCCTACCATGTTTCCCAGAATGGCTACCTCGTTGTCTTTAACTGTTGCATTACAAGGATAGATTGTTGGCCTATCACTCAAACCCCCGGCTCAGAGCATCAGAAGCATGAGCGGTGGGTGAAGTTCCAGCTGGGGAAGGCAAGCCCCAGCCAAGTCCCTTCCCCCCACCCCCAAAAAAAATTTCCTCCCCACATGGAGCCAAGCCCCTCCCATCCCAAGCTCGATCCTTCCTGGCCACCCAGAGGGTCGGGGTGACTGCACCATAGCTCCAGCTCTGTCCAGCAGCCCGGATGTATAGACAGTGCCTTCCCTTGCTACATTATCTGCTGCCCTCTTCAGCTTTGGGTGGTCCTATTAATATAGCTCACAGGGGTCACTGGAAGGCACACCCAGTCCATCAAATGGAAGAGCAGTCTACAAAGCAACAGTAAATGTATTGGCAAATAGTAATAGGAAACTTTATTTTTGTCAATTTAGTAAACATAAAACCAAGGCAGACAGGGTTTTTAAGATAATGTACATACCTTCATGGAAAGTTGTGCCAAAATGGGTGTTTGTAGGCATATGTTAGCTGAGTGTGACTGAACAGATCATACATGCACGTGAACAATTAGCATTAATTAATAAATCTTGCACATGCAGATTTGTGCATAGTTATGTAACCCACTTTCAGATATGTTTATAAGTCTCCTTCTGTGCCTTGTAAAGGGAAGAATAAAGGTCTGGTACAGCCCAGCTATGGAGCCTTGGCTCTCGCTCAACCCATAGCAAATCACATTAGGTCTCCAGTTCAGCCAACAGCTGTGTAGTCCAAGATGATGGCCATCACAGTTACATGCACTGCCTTTTTGTGAAGCACACTGTTGGTTACATGGATTACTTTTAAGATGCCTTTGTAAAAATGTAAAAATATGGATAACTGACAACAGCTTGACTTTGAACTACAGCTTAAGTCTTTCTATTGCATATATACAGGCAATTCCCATTCCTACCAGCCAATGGCAAAATACCAGAACTGGTAAGGCATCCAGTATTTGAGCAGAATTTTGTCCTGTTCCTGAATCCTCATCTTGTTTTTTAGGAAATCTTATTCTTTATTTTTAGACAGCCTTGTTGGGAGTTCACAGAGAGATGATGATTAAGTAGCAAGAGGAGCTCAGATCTTAAAAAATAAAGATCCTTTCCCCATCTAAATGTTCTGAGCAATAAAAAACGGAAAGGGGTCTATAGGAGTTGTAGAATAAACAGTGCAGATATGTGTTTAACTTTTCATTACTATAAAGTGAGACAAACTGTCACACACCCCTTCCCATGCTTTATGAAAATTGGCTTCTGGATATAAATGTGAATAACTTGAAGTTACAGTGTGCTGAATCTGTATAATTTATTTTTGTGCATGTATCATTCCGGTATCTAAAGTTAGAAACATGAAGTGCACATATGATTATAGTTCTAAAGTTGCTCTGGTGCTCCAGTACTTAATGACTCAGTACTAAAACCAATGATTTGTGAATGGCCATGCTTATAAGCCCAAACTATGGTTGGTCCTAGAACAGGGGTGGTCAACCTGCGGCTTGTGAAGAAAAAAATTGCAGCTCTTGATGGAACACGGAACCACTCAAGTCAGCCGCTCTCACAGCTGGGCCGCTGTGAGCCACATGTGCGCTCACGGCCCATGCCATTCCACTCACAGCCCCCAGTGCACTATGTCCTATCTGGGACCTGGGCATAAGATTAGTGGGGGAGGGGGATTGGGTTAGAGTGGGGAGGGGAGGTGTCTGGCTCTGGGGGAGGGGAGGGGAGGAGGTTGGGGTGTGTGTGTGGGATGCACAAGCTGCTGCTGGATACTGGAGACCTGAGATAGACAACACAAAAGTAACCATTAGGAAAACAATAGATATATATGTTGCTGATTGTGATCTTCCTGGAGTTATGCTGGTTTAAAATTGATACAAGAGTGTTAGGCACAAAATCATTAGTTCAACTTGCCACCCCAGGATCAAGCTGGTGGCTCTCTCCTGACCATTCATTTCCTCTGCCCCCACCTCATGCTGCACAGTATAGCCCCCAATAAGACCACTGCCACAGATATGGCAGGGGGATTGGGGGGGGGGGGGGTGCCTGGCTCTGGGGAAGGGGAAGGGAAGAGCAGCCAGCACACTTCCTGAGACCCGGGATCCCCAGGTACCGGCCCCAGCTGTCTCTGTTCCCTCCTCCTGGCCAGACCCTCCCCCCCATGAGTACCCTGCCCCAGCACCCACCAACACCCTGCCCCAGCACCCTGTCCCCTGCCCCCACCAGCACAGTTGGGGCCACATTAGTGAGACTTGGGGGTTTTAGAGCAGTTGTGTTTTTGCATCTTACTTGTGTGGCCCCGATTGACTTTTTTGTGGGTCAGTGACCCCTGACCCCAACCCTCTCATAAATAAAGACAACGCTGAAACATTTTGTGCTTGACATAATGTTTTATTTACAAATGAATTCTGGCCAACAAGCCCTCAATTGGGGCCAAGCCCCCATCTGGCCGCAGCATCATAACACTCCTGCACACACCCCGCAGACCCAACACTCTCTAGCCTGGAGCCTCCTTCCTGAGCCAGCATCCTCTTCTCTACTTCCTCCTGCACCCAAATTCCCTCCCAGAGCTTGCACCTCTCACCCCTTCCAAGTGCTTTTTTTGTGAGCCACAGTAGCAGTGGAGACCCTGTGAAGAGCTCGAGCCCCCCCCCCCCCAAAAAAAGGGCAGGGCTACAAATACCAAGGGAAAAGTTGTTAAGAAA